TAAAGTTCTTTTGAAAATTAGTTTACAAAAAAAATTAAAACAATTTCTTCCAAAAGCTCTTCTACATGAAACAAAATCAAAATCAAAAGTCATGTCAAATGTCTCTATGACTAAATAAAAATAACTAAATGATGATCCATTAGGTTAAGCTTGTTGAAGTTACAGTCTCTCAATAACCCAAATTTCCAGTAAATCGTCTCCACAATGCGATTCAATTCAACCTCTCTTAGACAATTGAGGGATGTCAACATCTCCAAGCACCCTTTGGTAGAGAGGGAATGAACAAAAGCCAAACTTTGCAAGTAATAAACCCACAATCCAACAATCAGTCACTGTCTCGTGGAAGTCACCAAAAGGTCAATCAATCCAACGGTACATGAGGTGACACTTGGCAACATCTCATGCAATTAGTCCACTAACAAAAACGTGAATTGCAAGCGCGCTTTTTAGCCAGCAATCTGAATATTGGAAACACAATTTGCCTCAAATCAATTTCAACAGTCAACGATCAATGGACAACCCAGTCAGCAGTTCCCCATCATTCTGGTCAAACGGAGTCTACATTGTAACATATTCCAACAGTTGATAATTCCTTTTTCTTGGATGCCCGAATAAGAGAAAAAAGAAATAAACAGCTTCAATAGTACAAACTGGGTTTCATGATGGTGAATTATTTATTGTGCTGGCAATTCATATCTCTTGAAATCTTAAAGAATATTTTAAAGTTTCTAGTTTACATTATTTGTTTGCTTTCTGTCAAATCAGATGCAACTTTACTCCTTTGCTTTTGGATCTTGTAGTGCTAATGGGGAGAAAAGAATAAAGTGCACGAAGAAAAATACGAAAAGTGACAAGAATTAGTGGGCACCACAAAGTAACATTTTAGAGCTAATTAATTTGGTACCAAAAGGAATCCAATAATTTTATTAGCACGTTTTTTAAACTAATGGAGGGTTAGATTTAAATTTTAAACTAAACCAACGGATTGATTGATTTCTAACACGGTGTACTTAGCACGTCTGGTTGAGACAATATATAGCCCTATTCCAATGCCCAATATCATAGCAATTTCATCTTCTCTCAATTTGTGAAACTTCTGATTAATTATCTACTCTCTCTGAAGCTTCACTCGTTGCTCTTTGCTTTCTCTTTCTTAGTCAGTTTAAGAAATTAAGGGTCCGTTTGATTGCAAAGGTAGAATATGGGTGGAAAGAAAATGTTTTACAGGGAATTGATTTTCCTAGAAAATGTTTTACTGGGAATTGTAATTAATTGTGTTTGATTGGTATAATTTTCCATGGAAAATGTTGAAAGTTTGGTATCCATTTGGCTTCTTTTTTTATGGAATTTGTCCATTAAAGTGATAATTTTTTCT